AAACCCTTGTTAAAAATGAGCCAAGACAAATTGTGTACCTAGCCTTTTTGACCATTGAGTCTGATCTAACAAGAATTATTGATTTTCAGAATATAATTGATGATTTTGCCAATATGAAATCCAGAAAAAAGTTTATTTAAGAAGTGCCTGTGAATATAAACAATTCTTTACTTTCTTGAGTTTATATGATTTGATAGTCCTATGCATGATGCAATGATAACAATAATGGTCAGTGATTTATAAAGGGAATAATAATGCTGTAGTGGTTATGCTGAATATAATAGGTACATGATGTCACTCCTTTTTATTTATTTATTTAGTAATTTAAGCATACATACAGAGGTATGCGTGAGCGTGTTTGATAGGAGTGAATGGAGACAAATGGTTTTTAATACTTGACGTGCTGTTGGAGTGTGAGCAAAGTAACATTTATGAAGGGATTCAGGGAAACCGGCAGGCCGGACTTGAGTCCTGGAGATGGGAAGTACAGTGCCTGCACTCTGAAGGAAGGGTGTTAATGTTGCAGTTTAAAAACTGTAGTGTAAAGCACCCTTCTGGCAAGACAGTGATGGAGTGAATGATGGTGAAAGTTTTTCTTTTTCGGGCCACCCTGCCTTGGTGGGAATCGGCCAGTGTGATAATAAAAAAAAAAATACAGAGGTACAAAAAATACAGGTAAGAGCAGCATGCCAAAGCCACTTATGTGCATAACATTACGGGCTGGCTTAAAAATTAACTTAAGATTAACTAAGCAATGATGAAATCAGTGATAAAACATTATTGTAAACAGATAACTATAAAGCACAAATGAGTATTACAAAGACAGGTCATATGGTTGCATGCATTGCTGTACATTCAGTCGAATGGAGTATTCTGTTAGGTAGTGTATTTAAAAAAAATAAAGTTAGATTGGGTCCTAGGTTTAACATTTGTGTGATATAATTGTGAGTAACATATAGGATATACCATTTATAAGGTTCTGTTATTCAGTATTTATTTGGTTTTGAGTGAGTAAGTGATCTTTGAGAAGAGACTTGAATTTATAAACAGGTAGTGTTTCTTTTATATTTACAGGTAATGAATTCCAGATTTTAGGGCCTTTTATGTGCATTGAGTTTTTGCATAGCGTGAGATGGACACGAGGAACATCAAAGAGTGATCTGTGCCTTGTGTTATGGTCATGTGTTCTGTTGAGGTTGGCAAGGAGATGTTTGAGGGGAGGGTTAATATCAGAGTTAAGTGTTCTATGTATGTAATAGATGCAATAGTAAGTATGGATGTTTTGTATGGTGAGTAGGTTGAGTGTTTTGAATATTGGTGGAGTGTGTTGTCTGTAGTGAGAATTTATCATTCTAACTGCAGCCTTTTGTTGGGTAATTAGTGGTCTGAGATCGTTAATTGTTGTTGAGCCCCATGCACAAATTCCATAGGTGAGATAGGGGTAAATAAGAGATTGAGAAAGGGCCAGGAGGGCTGATTGTGGAACATAGTACCGTATCTTCAATAGTATGCCTACAGTCTTGGAAATTTTCTTAGAAATTTGTTGTATATGTGTATGAAATTTGAGTCTATTATCGAGGTGGATTCCTAAGAATTTTCCCTCTGTTAGCTTTGTGATAGGTGATCCGTTTATTGTTATGTTAAGAGGTACATCTGTAGCTCTGTTACCAAACTGAATGAAGTAGGTTTTGTCAATGTTTAGTGTAAGTTTGTTAGTCCTCATCCAGGTAGATATTTTCTGTAATTCGGTGTTTACAGTATTGGCTAGCGTGACTGGGCTCGGGTGAGAGGAGATGTATGTAGTGTCATCTGCAAAAAGTGTGGGTTTGAGTAATTGCGAAGCATTTGGTAGGTCATTTATGTATAGGAGAAAGAGAAGAGGGCCAAGGACACTTCCCTGTGGGACACCAACTGTAATTGGTTGTGCGGAAGAGCTTGCCCCATTTGCGTACACATATTGGCTTCTGTTGCTGAGGTAAGACTTGAGGTAGTTGAGGGAGTGCCCTCTAATACCATAGTGTGACAATTTTACGTGGAGCAAGTCATGGTCAACTGTATCAAAAGCTTTACGTAAGTCAATGAAGATCCCCAGTGGGACTTCTTTTTTCTCTATTGCAGTGTATATATGTTCTAGCATGTGTATAATAGCCTAATCTAGTAATACTATGCTGTCTTGAGTTTATTCTCTTTTAAAATGCATGATTTAACAAGATAGTTATAATGGCTGTTGGTAAATGGTTTTGGTTGTCTTGATGTACTTTCCCTATTAAATTTAATCTAAATAGCCAGAATGTATTTAATTAGACCTTAAACAGGCACACACCGACCCCCCCCCCCAAGCTGGAAGGGGTCGCTTCGCTTACCCGTAACTCAAAGGGGCCCCGCCAATCTGAATAGCCTAGGGCCTGGAGACTTTTTAATCTAGCCCTGACTACTGCATTGTAATACAGCGCATGTAATAATAATACATGCCAGATATGCATGGAATGATTGTCATAATTGAAGTGTGGTATATAAAAGCAACGTGTTCATGTTAGTTTTTATGTATGGAGGTTTAAAGTAATAAATTTAAAATTAAAAATGGCTTGCCAATCTAGCATTCTCTAAGATAACACAACCCTGCCATGTACTGGAAGGTTATTGTACATAACTTGTGTTAAATGGATGCTAGAACAAAAAAAAATGTTTAATTTTCGTCTTTTTTTTTCACCCTAGGGAGAGGGGGTCCCAGGTAGCAGAACCTGGAGTTGGGTCCCCACAAGGATACGATGAAGAGATTGAAGCTAAGTGGCGTTTCCACAACTACTATCAGTGGGTTGTCTTTTTCCTCTTTTTCCAAGTAAGTTTATTGTATTCCATTTCTTGTGTATTATGTTCTTACCCTGTTCCTTATACTCTTGGTCTCCTTAACCTTTTCAGGGTTTTCGATGTACTAGGTACTGCTTACGCACCAGGGTTATTGATGTACTAGAACGCCTAAATTCTAGCACCTTCAAATCTAGCGAGAGAAAGCTGGTAGGCCTACACATTAAAGAATGGGTCTGTGGTCAGTGTGTGCAGCATAAAAAAAAATCTTGCAGCACACAGTGCATAATGAGAAAAAAAACTTTGACCATTTTTTTGGATTAAAACAGCGACTTTGCACTGTATTTTCGTATGGTATTTATTGTTGTATTCTAGTTTTCCTGGTTTCATTTTATAGAATGGAAGACATATTACAGAAATTGAGATGATTTTGATTGGTTTCACAATGAAAAGTACCTTGAAATTGAGCTCAAAGTAGCAGAAATGTTCACTTTTTACCAAAGTTCAAAAGTAAACAAATCGTGCCAAGTGTCCAATACACGTCAACTGGTGAGTCTAATATTCTTTCACAAGTGCGCTGATATTATTTTTACTACCATTTTTACACTAATGCAGTGGTCTGCATAACAGTAAATCTTCTGGTTTTTTGTGAGAATAAAAATTCAAAATGGAAAGCAAAAGAATGTAAGAGGGGCCTTGAGACATGACTAATGAACAAAGGAAATGTCATTTTAGTGCCAGGAATGTCTGTTTATTCTGGACCCTATTCAGAAATTGGCATTTTTTGAATTTGTGTGAAATTGGCAAAATTGCTAAATTCTGACCACTGTACTGGATAGTTGAAATTGGTAAATGGGTGGTTTCTTGCACTCATTTGATAGAGAAAATGGAGTTCTAGCGAAATATTCATGTTTTTTGTCGACTAGTACAGTGGAATTGGCCGAAAATGGGGCTCAAAGGTGGGCAAAATCACCGATGCGTAAATATCGCCGAGACCGTTAACTTCGCGAGAGCATAATTCCGGAAGTTTTCCATCAAATTTCATACTTTTGGTGTCATTATGACGGGGAAAAGATTCTCTATCTTTTCATAAGATTTTTTTTTTTTAAATTTGGCCGACCCTGAGAACGAGTCTCGGAGAGGGCCTATCGACCCTCAAAGGGTTAACAAATTTCACAGAGGTATCTAATTTAATACTTTCATACATATATCTTCAGCATAGTGTGTTTGTTTCTGGCTTCATTCTAGTCTATCTCCTTTATCATTTAATATTTTAATTTACATACCTCATGATTTTCTATTACCTGTTGAACATTTTCATCAACATTTTTGAAACAAACTTGTACCAATTTACTGTACTTGTGGACTGAAGGTTTTTGTAATATATTTTGTATACTGCTTCATTGTTTTTATTTATAATAAATGCTGTTGGGTTTATTTTAAATTGGAATTGTATATTTTTTTTTGTGCCTTTCTTAAATGATATTGTTTTTGTTTACTGTTTATAGGCTGCTCTATGCTACATTCCAAAGTTTGTGTGGAATACTTGTGAAGGTGGCTTGATGACTACTATTGCCCAGGGCCTAAACCCAGGTCTTCACAAGGAGGACGAAGTCAGTTCTCGCAAAAAAGTTGTCATTGATTACATTGTTAAACATATACGGGTAAGAAAGCATTTTACTAATTTTAGTATATATATTTATAAATGTGCATATTTGTTCATATTTTTTTGTATGTTTATAGTGTATTAATAAAGTAAAACCTCTATTACATGGACTAATAAGGTGGAGGGGGTGCATGATATTGATTGTCTGGAAGTTCGAAATTATGAAATTAATTTTTCGTGATGTAACACAAACAAAGTTCTGAATCAGCAGATTTGATCCTCTGGGTACTAAGAACATGGGTGTTATAACCTGTGGTACTACAATACAGTACAGCCTTTCCTCACTCGACGGAGTTCCGTTCCTAAGACCACGTCGGTAAACGAATTTGTCACTAAGTGAGGAGCATACTACAGTATAATGGTAGTTTTAATGTCACTTTTGCACCATTTATAACATTTCTGGTATATTTTTAAATGTTTATATAGTATTATTATTATTTTTTTTTTTTTTTTTTATTATCACACTGGCCGATTCCCACCAAGGCAGGGTGGCCCGAAAAAGAAAAACTTTCACTATCATTCACTCCATCACTGTCTTGCCATTATTATTATTATAATCAAAAAGAAGCGCTAAGCCACAAGGACTATACAGCTACTGTCTTGCCAGAAGGGTGCTTTACACTACAGTTTTTAAACTGCAACATTAACACCCCACTGTATATTGTAATAACCAGAATAGAGAAAATCAGCTCTTAATATACAGCCTCTCCTCACTTAACGATGGAGTTCTGTTCTTAAGACCACGTTGGTAAATGAATTCATTGTTAAGTGAGCAGCATACTATAATGGTAGTGGGTTTGTGTCAACCATCTTTGATATTGTTTTAATGTCACCTTTACACTGTTTATAACATTTCTGGTATATTTTTAAATGTTTATACAGTAGTGTACTGTATATTGTAATAAACAGAATAGAGAAAATCAGCTCTGATATAAATTATTTGGGTATGCATACTAGTCAGAGAGCCCGTCATAAGTCTGAGACATTGATAAACGAGTATGTCACTAAGTGAGGAGAGGCTGTACTGTAATATATAATAATTTTATAGTACTCTGTGTAATTATACTTACCATTTCATGGTGGAGAGATGTGTAGACTGCTGCGATCAGTAATGATGACTTGACAATTACCGAGTCGGTAAAAATGATGCAGATGGCCCAGAAGACTTAGATTTCTGAGAACCACACGTTTTGTCTTGGCACCATTATTAATTGCACTTTGCTTGATGTATTAATAAGTCACACAAAATGCTCTAAATCCGGGGAAGAGTAGAGACTGAATGACTAGTGCATGCATGAGTGAGCTCACAAACTGGCACAGGTGGCCTACAGCCCAGGGAACAATAAAAACGGACAGGTCCTGGATGTGGCAGCAGTGGCACATACCAGACAAATGTCAGAGTTAATGGATTTGGTCCAGTACTTCAGAAGATAACCAGGTACTATTGCCATGGGTAAAATGTGGAATTATGTACTTTTCTTCATTTTGTCTGATAATTAGTGTTGGCAGTTTTTTTTTTTTTTGTTTCCAACATTGCCGGAGTCCATTAGTGAGGGTTTTTTTTTTTTACTGTAAATGTAGCAAGCTGACATTCTTTTATTTCCATTTCATTGGTAAGAAGTCATTGTAATTGATCTACCCTTAGATTTGCTTGGTAAATTATTCCATATCATTGCAGATGCACAATGGATATGTTTTCAAGTACTGGTTTTGTGAGTTGCTGTGTTTTATCAACATCATTGGACAACTATTCCTAATTGACCGCTTTCTTGGAGGAGAGTTTCTCACGTATGGACCAAGGGTAAGTTTTTTTTTTTTTTAAGTAATATAGCTTTGGTTTTGTCATAACATAGATAAAAACTACCTTAATGTGATTCTGAAGCTAAGGCTGATATCTAGTGCACTTGGTGAGTTTTTTTAGCATGTTCATGGTAAGTGGCAGGCTCAGTGGGCAGGAAGTTTTACAGGGCTTAGCAGTAATTGTCTGTCCTTCAAAAGAACGACCTCAGATTGAGTATGTCATGATTGAGTGTACTCCTGGAAAATCATGTCCACTTCCCTCTCTCCTGTTTCTTTTTATCTTCTGATAAGCCACTGACTTGATCATGTAAATTTTAGGTTTAGATAAGATTTTTATAACCTTGGGTGTCTGCTAAGAACTAGGAGCTTTTAAGACAAAAATGTTTAAATTTTTTCTGTAGGAGAAGGAAGGTGGGGTAGGGGGTCTTCCTCAAAAAGGTTGGAAGGACGGGTAAATGATTTTTGGGTGAGAGGCTTGGACTTCGAGCAAGTGTGCACGAGTGTGTTCGATAGGAGTGAATGGAGACGAATGGTTTTTGGGACCTGACAAGCTGTTGGAGTGTGTGCAGGGTAATATTTTGTGAAGGGATGCAGGGAAACTGATTAGCTGGACTTGAGTCCTGGAAATGGGAAGTACACTGCCTGCACTTTAAAGGAAGGGTTTAGGATATTGGCAGTTTGGAGGGACATCTAAACTGTCGTATCTGAGTGCCTCTGCAAAGACAGTGATTATGTATGAGTGATGGTGAAAGTATTGAATGATGAGTTTTTTTTTTCTTTCATTTTGGGTCACCCCGCCTTGGTGGGAAACAGCTGATGTGTTAAAAAAAAAAAAAAATTTATCTGAAAGAGTTAACATGATTGGTTTTGTCTAGTTAGGTACTTTTTGTGCTATGATGAATAAAAGGTTGAATTTCTGGGCAGTGAAACAACACCTTCAGTAGGGGACATTATGGGCTGTAGACCCACAGGGCATTTGGAGTAATCTGCTTAGGTCACCAAGCTGCCAGCATTGTTGGCACTGCCAATAATGCTGGCATGGCCTGCATTACTGCTTCCTTGACATGCACCATTAATGGCAGGAAGCAGCAGTAAGCAGTAAGGTTTTTGCAGTGTTGTTGTTTAGAGATAGCTAACAAAGGAGTATAATCAGGGTTTCTTCTTTTGGTGATTAGTAGGCTCTGATATTTATCTCGAGATGTACACACACGAGGTGTACAAGGACAAGCATTAGAATAAGGACCGCTATCCTGCATTGCTGATTCAGTTGATAAATGTTGACAGTGCAAAAAATAAATTGCACCTGAAATGCCAAAGTTTCACTTTCTTTAGTGTAGTAAAGCAATATGGCTTGCTTTGGTAGATGAGAGACTGTAAGGAAAGGGCAGTTGGTAGACATGCTTATGTGACATGGGGTGATAAAACATCTATTAACAGCAGTATAATTGGGGTCAGTGACCATAGCTTCAGAATTGGGAGTATCACAGGCCTGGTTGCCTACATTGAAGTCACTCTCCTGAAGTACACAAATCCATAATGAAAAAAATTATTGGACATTTGAATTGATCTAACTATCGATTACAATACAAAGGCGTACAAGGGCAGTGATAGAGAAGGTAGATGCTTGTCAGGACTTCAGTTAGAGAAAAAAAGTTTATGTACAGATCATTAAATACGATTCTTATTACTACAGGTTGTGGAATATAGTGAAATGGACCAGGAGGAACGTGTTGACCCTATGATCTATGTTTTCCCACGTATGACCAAGTGCCACTTCCACAAATTTGGTCCTTCAGGCACTTTAGAACGTCATGATGCCTTTTGTCTGCTTCCACTGAATATCCTGAATGAAAAGGTAATTTTGGAGTTAGCTACAAACAATTTACACAAAGTATTAAAACATATTTGTTGTATTTTTCTTGGTCATTATTTTGATCAGTGCTATATCAATCACGTGCATTTGATTATTTGTATAAGGTTTATTAACATATTTACATTTTATATTATGTATTTATATTTTTATTCATTCAGTATACAAAAAACTTACACTGTTGTACATTTATTGTTCTAAGCTACCTTTCTGTAGTCGTATAAATTGCTTTCATGGGTATTAAAACTTGCTATACAGCACTAATTTTTGAATGTGCCTCAGAAATTTGAGCACGTCTGTATAGAATATAAAGGGTTCTTTATTATGAAAGGTTTAAAATATACTTAACACATTTTGTTTTAGGTCTTTATAATAGTGTGGTTCTGGTATGTGATTCTGGCTACACTTTTGGGAGCTCTTCTCCTGTACCGCATAGCGCTCTTCACCCTTCCTGGCTTGCGTCCACGTGCAATGCACAAACACAATAAGGCTGTTCCCATAGAGACCGTTGAAGCCATCACAAATAAAACTTCTATTGGTGACTGGTAAGTATTGAACAATAACTTTTTTGTACAGTATGATGATAAACAAAAAATCTTGCCAGGAGAGGTAATAGTGCAGTTGTTAGGATTGAGAGTATGTTAACCCTTAAACGGTCCAAACGTGTATATATACGTTTTTTATTCATTCAACATTGCCACAATAAGCCTGAGTCACCTAGACATGAGAGAATGGGTGTGTGCACTCAGTGTGCCATATTAAAATAATTGGGGATGCCTGGGTACCATATGCTCTTTTTTCCTTTTAAAGAAAAGATTTTTTTTTTTCCTCAAAAAATTTGGGGCGCTACGCGAGTGAACGTATATATACGTTTGGACCGTTTAAGGGTTAAGTAATATTATAAGCTTTTTATCTTCACCTTGAAAAGAAACTGTTGATATAATCACTACATTGTGTAGTGATTCAAATTGGAATGAGTGCACACCTTATTCCTAGATTATGAAGGCACAGTATAAATTATTTAGCTCTCCACTAACAGCCTAGCAGACTGGGCAAGTTTGGCCATGCTTGAATAAGGAAAACTCAGAACCATTATTATTATAATCAAGGGGGAAGCGCTAAACCTGGAGGATTATACAGCGCCTGCGGGGGGGGGGGGGGGAATGTGGAAGGCATTCAGGCTTAATTCTGGGAACTGGAGCACAGATCCAATTCCCTAAATCAAGAGCCCCTCGCCAACATCAAGGAACCTTCCTTGAGGGGCTCTCAAAACCAGTCTAGGTATATCTTAGGTATGGGGAAGTGCTAAACTTCTAGGGGTTATTATCCTCTCAAATAAGGCTTCTTGATCTCAAGAATATCTGTACTCCCTTTTATTGAGTCAAACCTGAATGCCTCCCATACACCCCTAGGCACTTGTGAGACCAACCCCTACAGGTTTAGCACTAACATGAATGTAATATTAATAGGGGTCATTCTGTTCTGGAGAAGGGGAAGCAGTATGGTTTGATCTAAGGAAGGGCAATGCCAGTCTTTGCCTTAAGACTTGTGGGTTTAGAGCTTAGTTTTTATTGTAATTCTTCGGCTTAAAACTCCATCAGTGTCGAAGCACCCTCGCCTCTCCCTTTTGAGGAGTAAGTATTGAAACATTTTTTTTTTTTTAATCTGTTAGGTTCCTGCTGTTGCCAAGTCACTGTACTAAAAACAGTACCATACTTCACTTAGGATTCAGGGTTAGTATTAGCATAAAGTACAGTACCTGCACTCTGAAAAGGGAGGGGTGGGGATATTGCAGTTTGTAGGGGCAACTGAGCTGTAATGTTGCATGCCTCGGGCACGATGGTGAATGAGGGATTGGTAGTGAAAGTGGTTTCTTATTTTGTGGGTGTCACTGTTTCTGTGGGAGATGTGTATTGGCATATTTAAATATTTGTGCCTTGTGATCTAGACAGAATGCTACCAAGCAGATGAATTATTATTATTATAATCAAAAAGAAGCGCTAAGCCACAAGGACTATACAGCGCTGCAGGGCAGGAAGGAAGCGAGGGCATCAGGTGGCAAAAGGGAGATGGATGAGCAACAGGTTACGGATAACAGCGGGGCAGTGGATGGTGAAAGGGTAAAGGGCAGCAAGAGACTGAACCAGAAAGGGCTGAGGGGAGACCAAGCAGATGAAGTGTTTTCACCCATACTTTACAAAATGTGGTGCTGTATAGCCCTTGTGATTTAGTGTTTCTTTTTGATTATTATAATTTACAGAAGGTGTAAAATGTTTTGAATTAGGCTTGTTGTAAGTGGGCAACTAAAATGCTGGGAGCAAGGGGCTAGTAACTTGTACATGAGTTACTAAATGTAATTTTTTTTCTTCTGGTCACTACCTCAGTAGGTGATGGCCAGTGCATTGCAAGAAAAATCTGTATAATTGGAACGTGCAGAATATAAACATTTGATATTATATATTAATTATTAACCCTAAACTATATTTTTTACAGGTGGATCTTGTATGTTCTATCTACTAACATTGATCCGTTAGTATACAGAGACATCATGACAAAGCTCTCCAAGGAAATAGAGACTGCAAATAGTAACATGGCATATAACAGTGCAGGATTATACTCATCATCATCGGTATGAATGTTGGAGGACATGGATTGAGGGCTGTCACCCCAGCTGAAGGTGCATTAAGTGTTGGTTAAAAAAAAAAAAAAAAAATGAAGTTTGGGTAAAGGATAAACCAATTACAAGGACATTTTTGGTGCTTTGGGAATACTCAGTTGTACAATGTGGATAAAGAATGAATCAGGCTGATCCTTAAAGTTGAAAAGATGCTTAATGAACTTATTGAAGTGTAAGTCATGAGCCTCTGTTTCTGAAATTAATAACTAATTCATACTGTAGTTTTCCCTTTGTTTTTCAGGCTTTTAACTAATGTTAGCTATCTTTATAGAAATTTAGAAGTTGTTTGTTCCCTTTACAAGTGTGATCATTGTGGATAAAAAAAAATTTTTGGTTTTTGATTTCTACCACATTAGTATTTTAAAATTTATGGAACTTACTTTTGTAGTGGAGCAATTACTTTGAGGCTATAATGAATAGTAATACACAGTACCTTTAAAATTAGGAGACAAATGGGCAGCATCTTAATGCAAACTGTGTGTGCCACCAAAGTATGTGTTCCTAATAACCGTCAGTTTGTTTACAACATACATTGTTGATTGCACACCATACTGGATTCTATTAAATGGCTATACAAGTTAAGTTGTCTAAAAAATTGCTGCCAAGACATTAATCAGTTTTTTCATTGGTGTGAAGTTACCAGCATTTTGAATAATTCCCTTCAGCTGAATTTTATGGTACAAGGTTTTTTTTTTTTATTATTATTAGTGGTTTTCCTTGTGTTAGAGGTGGACTAGCTATAATGCATGAGGGTGACAGCCACCAGTTCTTGTCATAGATCTCTTCATGAACTGTTACCGTAATGCTTTCATATTAATGCTGATAGGGGGACAGACACCTTTCATATGTTGGTGTTATGTTCCAAAAATTTTAAACTATTTATTTATTTTTAATGTTGAGGTAATGTATTCAGGTCATTCAGTAGTTATTTCTATTTAATACAGATTATTTGGACATTGTTTGACATTGCCATTAATGCTCAGACATTCAATGTGTAGAAAATTGAACTGAAATGTGTACTCAAAAGTTGTTTGTTGTAACTATATTAAGTTTGTGGGGGGGGGGGTTGAGCTGCAGTTCTTGGTCCTGTATTGTATCTGTCGTGTGTGCATGCATGTGCTTGCCTGTGTAACTGAGAAAGACTAATTTATATTGACAAATTACTTGTGGATATTTTTTAATTGAGGTACTGGCATGGTAAAACCTTTTAATGACATGTTTAGAAGTGCTTCAACCTTGTTGAATTTTTATTCAGCAGATTTAGAATGCAAATATAAATGAGGATTATTTTAATTTTCTTATGAAGTTTAAGACATGGAAGTGCATTCTAAATAAACAAGAAATTAATAAGCTTATTGCCTCTAATTTATATTTTAATGTTTAGCAACATGTATTTAAATGTGCAAGCATTTTCTTTTTACATAGGGTGACCATAAAGACGTGCCAAGTAATTTGGTCTGCCTGCCAAGGCTCTTTACCAGATAATGAAACTACTGCTATATGTAGCAGTGTATGATGCAATTATTGAGATTTGTACTTTGTAAGAATGTATTTGTAGCTATATTAAAGGATAGTTTTTGTAGAATGTGTTTCAGTGCAAAGTACCTTCTTCACCAGTATTAACTAAGAACTTACTCCTAAACCCATGAATTTAAATACGCGCATAAATTATTCAGCATTATTAATCAAAAAAGTGCTAAACCTACAAGGGTCATACAGTGCTGCTGGGCAGGGAAGGAGGCAGGAGTAATGGGTAGCAAAGAGGGAGAGGGATTATTATTAGGTAATGGAGTGCAGGGATAGAAGGTAGCAAGAGATTGAGGAAGAAAGGGCCACAAGTACTAGAGGCATCAGTGTGTGCAGTAAATCAGTTGCTGTCAGTGTGGGTTAAAGGAGGGTCCAGCATGAAGGGAAGGTAAAGTAAGGTCAGTAGAGCAGTGACAACGGAGGTAAATTCTGAGTGCTCATTGATAGCAGTCAAACAGAATATTGCTAACAAACTGGAACCTGATAATTCTCAGTGGAACAGGGCACCTCCATGATATACCCATGAGTATGTGTGGCCAATGCAAAGACAGGAGAGAGTAGTCTCCCCAACCTTGACACTGACAAGAAGACTGTCAGAAACCTATACTCTGTTTAATGGACTGTAGTTTACTATAGAGTAGATCAGACCAACGTTGTTGCCAGCAGGTGCAAAGGTGGGTAGCAATCACAGCAAGTCTGAATGGAACACCTCTAAGAAACTGGGAGGTCATGTACTGCTCATGGTGTAGCAGTGTCTGCATATTTATTGCCCTGTATGCCAACATGACTGGGGACCCAACAAAAAAGCATGTTCATGCTTGCTAGAGATATGGCGTAACTAAAGTTGGATACGAAGACCCAGGAGATGAGGTGTACCAAATTTTCGTATAACCTGTAAAGCACTAAGAGTCTGAAACACCCACAAATGTTGACAGGCATAGATGCAATACAGGTAAGTGTTATGAGAATGGCATACAGTTTCAACCATAAAATGCTAGCCGGGGATAATAAACGCCATTGCACAACGGTGTCCGAGAACACTGCTGCAAATCGGATGCCGTCAGAAGACTTGGAACCATCGGTGTACATTGCAATGGCACAAGAATGAGATCGGAAGTGGTTAAGAAAAAGAGCGACAAGCCACTGTAGGCAGCTGGGCTTTCGCACATGGCAGTGGGAAAGAACAGAAACCGTCGGAACGTCCCAAGGGGGTAGGGAAAAAGGTGATGCACGAACATAGAAAGGCGGTAACTGAAAAGATGAGCGAATGTAGACAAACGGGCGATGAACAAATGAGGACCGTCTACTAACATCAGTGACTATTCTATACATGTATATGGAAGGATTGCGGAAATCATGAGAGTGAACATAATAGCGAAGGCAATGAGCACCATGGCGATTGGTAAGTTAAAAGCACCAAGGCAAACAATCCCCGGTGACAGATGGGATTACGGTCGAAACTACTATGAACGACAAAGTGGACGTGGTCACAATGGGGATGGCAGCAGTGACAATTGCATACAACTGCTATGAAGATACTAATAACTTCTAATAAATGTCTGCATGTCTTATTGATGCACTGTCATTATCACCGTATGTTCTCCAGCTCCCTCTTGCATAGTTTTTGAGGTAAAATATTAGGCTATATAGCCTTGAAGGGCAAGGAGTTAGTAAAATAATTTACCTGGAAGTTCAATTGGTAATGTGTGTATACGTAAGTATGGGTTTATGAAGGATGAGGTTAACCATAGAATCGATGAAGGGAAAAGGCGAGTGGTGTGTTGAGGTATCCGTGGAGAGAAAACAAAAAAATGGAGGCAAAGACGGAATGTACGAAAGTATAGTGGTACTAACACACTCATATGGGTGCGAAGCTTGGGTTGTAAATTTGCAGTGAGAAGGCAGCTGGAGATGTCCTGTCTAAGGGCAATGTGTGGTGTAAATATGCAGAGAATTCAGAGTGTGGAAATTAGGAGGTTGGAGTTACTAAAAGTATTTGTCAGAGGGGTTGTTGAGGTGGTTTGGTCATTTAGAGAGAATATAAATCTGTAGGGGAAGGAATGAAGGAGGGGTAGGGGTCATCCTCGAAAAGGTTGGGGGGAGGGGGGGGGGTAGAGGAGGTTTTGTGGGCGAAGAGCTTGGACTTCCAGCAAGCACGTGTGAGCGTGTTAGATAGGAGTGAATGGAGATGAATGGTTTTTGGGCCCTGACGAGCTGTTGGAGTGTGAATGGGTAATATTTTGTGAAGGGATTCAGGGAAAACGGTTAGCTGAACTCGAGTCCTGGAAATGGGAATTACAATGCCTGCACGTTAAAGGAGGGGTTTAGGATATTGGCAGTTTGGAAGGATGTGTAATAGGATGGTATATATATACAATTGGAGCCCTGATATTATATTCTATTGGGAGTTTATTACATTTTAGGTCACTTTATATTCTATCTTTATATAGGCTTCTAAACTGTCGTATCTGGGCACCTCTGCAAAAACAGTGATTACGTGTGAGTGAGGTGAAAGTGTTGAATGATGAAAGTATTTTCGTTTTGGGGATTTTTTTTTTCTTTCTTTTTGGGTGTCCCTGCCTAGGTGGGAGACAGCCGACTTGTAAAAATTTCGGTTGTATTTTATGTTCAGTACACAGCATTCATTCGCTTCCACAAATTATGTTGAGGATTTCGTCCACCAAACCACTGGTGCTCCCTTGTATATACTATATAAACATTACTGAAACATATATAGTATATACAAGGGAGCACCAGTGGTTTGGTGGACGAAATCCTCGACATAATTTGTGGAAGCGAATGAATGCTGTGTACTGAACATAAAATACAACCTACCCTAGCTCAGGCCTAGCAGCCAGTTACTCCAGGCCCAGCTGTTATACCTTGCTTCTCATCCTACACCATGGTTCTAAAGTACCCAGGCTACTTCTGTTCCTTGATCAAACCCAATTACTTCTCAGGCACTGTATGATAAATGTTTAGTGCTCCCTCATAAAAAAAAAAAGTGCTGAATGACTACACAATTAACTTTATATCCTTCAAGGATGTGCCTTTATACCAGGAACAAGCTCTTATCCACAATTTCGTCTATGGTCCCTTTGTGGACCATTAGTAATGAGAAAAGCACTAAACCTGTAGAAGTCACAAAACAAATGAGGCAAAAGAGCTCAATCCAGGGATTTTTTTTTTTTCAACAAGTCGGCCGTCTCCCACCGAGGCAGGGTGACCCAAAAAAGAAAGAAAATCCCCAAAAAGAAAATACTTTCATCATCATTCAACACTTTCACCACACACACACACACACACATACATACATCCATCACTGCTTTTGCAGAGGTGCTCAGAATACAACAGTTTAGAAGCATATACGTATAAAGATACACAACATATCCCTCCAAACTGCCAATATCCCAAACCCCTCCTTTAAAGTGCAGGCATTGTACTTCCCATTTCCAGGACTCAAGTCCGACTATATGAAAATAACCGGTTTCCCTGAATCCCTTCACTAAATATTACCCTGCTCACACTCCAAATACAGTGGAACTTTGAAAATCGAACGTACCAAATATCGAACGTTTCGAAAATAAGACTATTTTTTCAGACAAACTGTGTACCAAAAATCGAACGTGTTTCAAATTTCGGACCGCCGGGTATGGGACCTGTCCGCTGGCCCGCGTCCCTGCGCAGGCACCGTGAGCAGTCTAGCTTTGTTTATGCTTGAGTGAACACTAACCTGCGATCTCATTCACACATTTTACGATTATTTGTGTTTAGCGCTTGTGGGGCTGTGAAATAAGCTGCCATGGGCCCAAAGAAACTTGCTAGCGGTACCCCTGTGGTAAAGAAAGTGAGAAACACCATAGATGTGAAGGAAATAATACAGAAGTATGAGATTGGAGTGAGGCTTGTTGAGCTTGCCAGGATGTACAAAGGACTGTGGACAGTTATTTTGTGAGAAACAGACAACTGTGGACAGTTATTTTGTGAGAAACAGACGACTGTGGAGTTTTGTGAGACAGACTATTGTGGACAGTTATTTTGTGAGACAAACAGATGACTATAGACAGTTATTTTGTGAGACAAACGGAGGACTGTAGACAGTTATTGAGACTGGGGTCCAATGACTCGAGTTGGTCCTAGTGGCATTAAAATACAGAGAAGGGAAGCAACCCCAGAGAGGGCTTTGATACCAGAAGTCCTCATGGAGGGGGATTCTCCTTCCTAACAATAACCCCAACTCCCTCTCTCTCCTCCTCCCTATCTTCCAGATGCCATCACCAATCTTCAATAAGGGTAAGTAAAAATGTTATTTTATATTACTATACATAATTAAAGACTATAGTATTTGTTGTGTGTATGTAAAACTGTAATTAATCTCTATAAAATGTATTAATAAAATGTATTAATAATGTATTAATTAATGTATTTTTTTTTTTTTTTTTTTTAAATTAATAAAAGTATTAGTCAGAGGGCAGAAGAGGGGTTGTTTGAGGTGGTTTGGTCATTTAGAGAGAATGGATCAAAGTAGAATGACATGGAAAGCATATAAATCTATAGGGGAAGGAAGGCGGGGTAGGGGTCGTCCTCGAAAGGGTTGGAGAGAGGGGGTAAAGGAGGTTTTGTGGGCAAGGGGCGTGCGTGAGCGTGTTAGATAGGAGTGAATGGAGACGAATGGTACTTGGGACCTGACGATCTGTTGGAGTGTGAGCAGGGTAATATTTAGTGAAGGGATTCAGGGAAACCGGTTATTTTCATATAGTCGGACTTGAGTCCTGGAAATGGGAAGTACAATGCCTGCACTTTAAAGGAGGGGTTTGGGATATTGGCAGTTTGGAGGGATATGTTGTGTATCTTTATATGTGTATGCTTCTAGATTGTTGTATTCTGAGCACCTCTGCAAAAACAGTGATAATGTGCGAGTGTGGTGAAAGTGTTGAATGATGATGAAAGTATTTTCTTTTTGGGGATTTTCTTTCTTTTTTGGGTCACCCTGCCTCGGTGGGAGACGGCCGACTTGTTGAAAAAAAAAAAAAAAATGTATTTTTTTTGCGTGAACAT